AACTTTCCGTCGTCACTTTTCGGACACAAAGGCAAGGCTGAGTAATTGGATCGGATTTGCGAGGTACGCATTCCATTTTTAACTCATTATGCGCCGTCTTGGCATTCGGGATCGTATTTTAGGCAGTAGTCATACAGTCTATTCCGCGAAAATTCCGCGCGTTGTGACGCTGTTTTACGGGTTTCACGCGACTCGTAGCATGGCTGCTCGCGCAAACGTATAGCGTCTTTTGTCGTCAATTTCGTCAATTCAAACGCGCTAGTGCCACAAGTGTCTGCGATGCATGTTCGGGACAACGATGCGGAATTGATCGTGCGTAAAACAATGCGTGTGGCAGTTGAATTTTCTCACCATCTTGTCGATGAACGTTCGCTATCGTTGCCGAGCTACGGGTAATTATACAATGTGATGTCAAAAGCCGAGAAGTTTTTACTAGCGTGGTTTTTTTACATAAACTTTATTCAATTGTTCGTACATATTATCGTAATACATTTCGCGCTTTGCTTTTGGCATCTCTGGCACTTGTTCAATACTATATTACTTGCATGGTTCTTTTAAACGTAATTAATAATTATTCGCGTGGAGTATTTTTGATATTACAACATTATGTCTCAATTTATTATTTCTTTTAATGATTCATATTTAAATAAAGGTTGATAGAATATTCTATATATGTTCCTTAAAGATACATGCACATTTCCATAATATCGTAAAATAATTTGTGCTAATTACAGCTTTGGCTAAAAGTACTAAATATCTTGTTAATCATTATTTAATTTTTCAGATAATAAATTAATTTAAGACACTACTGTTATATCGCAAATTATCTGTGTTTCAGAAATTCTTTAAACTTACGTATAATGCCGATCATGGCTCGATAAAATAACATACGAATTATTAAAAATAAAAAACATAAAATAAGTTTCAGAAACATAATTAAAATACAAAATCGTAGAAATTGGTAAAAAGCAGATACGACTTGTTTAAAATAAAAAATATGAAAAAGTTTCCGGAATTTTATATAAAATATTAAATAAGAAATAAGTCAGAAGTGTAGTTATTTAAAATAATGAATACTACTTGTATAAATAATTCTTTTAATTTTTTATTTAAATTGTATACTTTAATTTTCGTCGCTTTTACGAGTATATAAAAATTTTTTAATGGTTCTTACGTGTATCTTTAGAAAATATTTGTAAAGATGTATATTTATAACAAATTATATAAATTTATAATAAATTGTTATAACTAAATAAAGTTAACAAAATGAAAGTATGTATTTTTTCATACAAAAATGTAAAACACTGAAACAAAAATATCAACTTTAAGGTATTGAAACATACTTTTCCTTTAAATTTTTTGTTTCAGAGTTTTACATTTTTGTATGAAAAAGTACATACTTCCCATTTAGTTAATTATATTTAGTTATAACAGTTTATATTTAATTTGTTATAAATATACAACTTTACAAATACTTTCTAAAGATGTCAAGATATACGTAAAAACCATTAAAAAATGTTTATATAATTGTAAAAGCGACGAAAATTAAAGTATATAGTTTAAATAAAAAATTAAAAGAGTTATTTATACGAGTAGTATTCATTATTTTAAATAACTACACTTCTGACTTATTT